TTTCAGGAATGCTTAGCTAAGCTAAATGCTAAGCTAAACACACACCGAGCGATGGCTGAGGATAACTTGCTGTAGGCGGGACATGGAATAGCTCATTACACCTCACGTATAAAGCCACATAAATGGTTTAGCCTTGTAGAGGCTAAATTATGCAGAGCGGTTAGCATCACCAAACCTCTTTCTAAAAGGTCAAGATATGATCGATAAAAATGACTAGCCATGTCATCAAGCCCTCAAAAAGCTTAAGACAAGATGCTAGCACACCAGTACGCGTCAGATACGATTCCCCGATGTAAAAATGGGTTTAAAACGCAACTAGAATACATTGATGTGTGTCTTGCCGAGGACTAATTTGAGTTTTAAAATGAAGCGAGGAGTCCCTGAATAGTTTTTGTTATGAATACAGTGGGGGTCTGATAGGTTTTTAATATGGCTGATATTTTTGCCCACAAAATTTTAGCATACAAGTTTGGTATGGTTACACTGAACTCAAGTGAACAGTTTGGCAGATAGTGAACAATTTTACCAAAAGAGAGGCTTTAAGCCGTTTTCTGACACTCCCACATGAAGTTAACATAATCTATATTCGATTAGACTTTGTGTATTTAAAACAGCGAAACGGGAAAGGCCATGCTAGTTAATGCTAATGCTGTATACCCTCAATATTGCGATGCTTTAAGCCTTTCAGCAATTCACTGAACACATCTCTGAATTCACTTCAGCGGGTCTTTTGCGAACTACCGTGTTCGAGGAAAACAGTGAAACCGTAAAAGAGGCGCTAAATCCTCTCTCCATGCCATTTAAACGCATAGACAAACATAAGCAAGAGCTGCTACCCTCGAGTCGCTCGTGAAGAAAAAAAAAAAGATTGTTCTGTGGGAATATGATATTATTCTTTAAGCAAGCGCAAAAGGGGAAGAAAAAGAAGACCCCTGAGGTCAACTTCTGTACAACTGAGGCTAGTTACCGCGAGGCATTAAGTCAAAAATTCCCTCTTGGTCTCACTTTCCCACATTTTTAAGGTCTATCTGAGACGGCAGTGACAATTAAAGTGAGCCGCGTGTGTCAGACGCCATTATGGAAAAGGAAGGATCCTCTCACTAACTTAAGTGTCTTTTTGGAACCCATTGTTATCATGCCATTGTTTGTTGTGACGCCACGGCAACACGATACCTTTCGGCTAGAAAACATGAGACCCTCTTCCTAGTCTGTCAAATGTCAAAGACCACATTTACAATAAAGTGTCAGGTTCTTCTTCTATTGTCTACACAGCGGTCACCCTTGTCGAAATGGTTATTTATTACCAAGAAGGCGCCTTTCCAAGTGTAACCGTGTCTTTGGTATCGCACAACCAGTCACATGTCACTATCACGCTGGCTTCCGGGTGAATGGGCGTGACGGCAGAAACGACATTTATTTCACTTACTGAAGTGCCATATCCGAAGTGATCGTTCACAGTGCCGATGTGGCTAAGTGCATTTCGAAAACAATTTGTGTCGCATTGATGCTTTTTGTGTAATCAAAAAAAAAAACAAAAACATTTACCCCTCCAAGTATTATACAACTAACATTTAGAAAACCGATTAACTGGAGTGGTGCCTGAGATTCATTCTTGTATCATTCTGTGACCATGCTCTTAACTCAAAACATTTGTAGCGCAAATCATCGTTCTCCACTGAAGTTAATGGAAACACAATTAATCTGTTCCATAATCCCCCTCCAAAAACAAGAAAACCATTTTACATTTACAATTTGTTGTGGTTTTTTTTAACATGTAAAATAGCACTCAATATTTATTATATTACATTAAATTGAATGTGCGGAATTGAACAGTTTGTGCCTCATGATTAATTAATAGCGGCTGCCTCTGGTATGCATGCCTTTGTCACCGGGGAGCAGTAAAATGCAGTTAACCAGACGAATTAAAAAAAAAAAAAAAGAAACAAAAAAAACGAAGCGTTTCACATCTAATGTATGTGACTCAGTAAGAGTTAAATTAGATGATTTTCGGAAAGGATAAAGACAGTATCCCTCTGTGTCTCTGAAGACACCACTGTATTTTCAGACCCCAAGCTCCGGTTCACGGGGATCCCACTTTGAGAACTGCTCATACAGATCACTTAGATCTGCGGTTGCCAGAAGTCCAGGACACGAAATGGCTGCCTGGTCAGTTTTCACTATGGAGGAACCAAATGGAAAAAGTTTGTGATTTAAAGCCCAGGCAGAGAACAAAAGGAAAAATGAAAATAAAGCCTTACAATTAGCTCGTATAAATCTCCCTATGGCCTTTGGCGGTTTGTGACTTTAGCCAACTCCCCGTGTTCCCGACTGACATATTTATTGTATAGCAGGACCGTGTCAAGACCTGACATCAATCTAACAGTCCCCACTGCAAGAGAGAAACCGTGGGCATGAGCTGGTCACCAAGTGTGTGTGTGTGTGTGTGGGGGGGGGGGGGGGTAGCATTTATTGTGGTGGTAAGTCGTTTGGCAAACTCGTGATTCAGTGCAGGCCGATTGTCTGCGAGGAGGCGGTAAAGCAGCTCATTTCCATACAAATTGCAGCGGTGCGAAGCCAAGGAACGCGTACGGGGCTCTTTAGATCGGCCATGAAAACAAGTTGAGCGTAGTGTTAGCGTAGTAGGGCGTTGAGTTTGTACTTCTGTGCCTGATTGTAGTCTATAGGAGCACAAAGTGTCTCACATGGGGATGACATGTCAAGCAAACCGTCACATCACACCCTGCCAAGTGTGTGGCCCTCCCCCCGTTCACATTCCTCCACAATCTGTGTCTGTATGTGTGCCTCTTTTTTAATTCAAAATTATTGTTTCGATCATTTGTGAACGGCATCTTAGATGATTTAACATGGGGTCTCAAAACGGGTTTTTTAAAAACTGATAATGTTATCATTAACATCTAAATGTCCCAAACTGGAGCGATGACAGGAAGCAAAAAGTGCTTTTGCATGAAAACGCAAACATTTGACAAGGAGTCTGAACGTGGAAGTTCTTATTACAAAATTTAGTTCTCATTGCTGAAAAATGGTCATCTGTGAAAAGAGATAAAAGCTGAACTTTGAATTCCTGCTGGTCAGCTCACAAAATGTGAATTCATGCTGATGTAACCACTCACAAAGCTATCATTAGGGCTAAAACAACACAAGGGCCAACTTATCATCCGACTCGTGGATGGTGATGTCACACATGTGCAACACATGACATCAGGCCATGGGAAACGGCATATTGGTAATGGTGGGACGCGAATACAAAAGCTGCATTGAAGGATATAAATTAGCAAGTTTTAGTTCAACAAAACAGCGCAGTTGATTGCACAGCTGCCCCATTCTGAGAGCTGCTTTGAATATTTTTGTTTGCTTGTTCATCGCAAGACGGGGAAGATATGGATAATTAATCCTCAGAAAAATAAATAATGAATCAGATATAAGATAGGGTGTGCTAGAGCCTATTCTCAGCCTTCTTTGGGCAGTAGGCGGGGTACACCCTGAACTGGTTGCCCGCCAATCAGGGTACACATGGGCCAACCACGCTCACAATCACACCACAACAATTTAGAGTGTTCCGTTAACCTGCCTTGCATGTTTTTGGAATGTGGGAAGAAACCGGAGTACCCGGAGAAAACCTACGCAGGCACTGAGAGAACATGCAAACTCCACACAAGAAGGCCGGAGCCGGAATCGAACCCTGCACCTCTGCACTGTGAGGCTGATGCACTAACCAGTCAACCACCTCAGGATTATGATAAATAACTATTATTCGGGGCGATTTTAGTTTTTAGGGTACTAACAAGGCATGCATTAAACAAAATGGTGCAGCAAATTAACACATTACTCCATATTGTGAGAATTTAAAAACGATACAGTATGTGTATGGGCAACATGGTATCGGACACCCTTCCATACACTTGTATTAGTGCAGGTGTACCTAATGTTGTGACCAGTTGTTGTGTATAGATAATTTGAAGGGTCAATTTTATGGCTTTGACACATTTTTGTCAAAGTTGTAAACACATGTTGAAGCCTCTGTGTGACACCTCATAAAAGAATACAACTTGATACAACTATTAGCTTCTTACAAGTTGAATCTGACTATTAGTTTCTTACGTGGATAATACGAATGCATATTCAGTATACAGATAGTGGACTCACATTCTACGTATGAAAACATTTTTTTGTTACTTTCATTCTCTTGTATCATGTGTATGTTTATATAGGGTAAGCCATTTTTTTAACTAAAATGAAAACCGTTTCCGTATTCAGAAGCAAACGTTTTGAAGCCAACCGGAACTCGCCTGGTGCTGTCAACACGATGAGGGAAAGGGGATTTTAAAATAGAAATATATATCACATCACATCACAAGTCCCTGGACCAGCCAAACTACACACAAAAAAAGCGTGAATTACGGTATACGACAGTTCTGATAAAAGATACGCTAACTTGATGCTGACAGACGATGCAAAAACCTATAGATGTCCTAAAGAAATAAGCATTGATGATACATTATATCCCTTTGAGGAACAGAAATTTGAGCACAGACCGACAAGCATTAATTCTTTATCTTCTGCGAAAAACGACAACTATTACTGCAGCTTACCGAGTAGAGCGTTGTCGTGTACATATGCATGTATTATACTGCCCCCGGTGGCTAAGGCGTAACACACCAAATGGAGCCATATGAATTCATTAGATGTATACACAACTGTTTTAAATCAGTACATTCTATTTGTTAGTTTTTTTTTATAGTTACAATACTCTATCATGTTATTTTTCTTTTTTTTAAAAAAACAACACGCTAGCATACAATATTAAATGTACGAAAAAAGTCTTGTCTTTGACCTTTGTAAAGGTTACTACTTGTGTTACTACTTGTGTTACTCATGAAGGCGGTATTTGGTGGATAAGCAGTCTTGAGCTTGTACTTTTGTATGGATTAAGACGCTTTACTGTACTGTATGAGTGAGTGTAGTAGTGTGTAACTTCTTACCCACAGCTCTGATAACCAAGCCCGTGGCTGACTTGAGCGCTCTTCTCATCCACGCTTCCCTCAGCACCTCCAAGCTAGCCGAGCTTCCCTGGATAAAAAGCACCAAGCTGTCCATCCAGCCCTGGAAGTGCACCTCGCCCATGGCCCTCACCAGCCGTTTATTCCAGAAGCTGCGCAGGTTCTGCGCCTTGAAGTCGGCGAACACCTCCAGCCCGGTAGTGGTGGCGGCGGCGGCGGCGCTCCGGCGGCTCTCGTCCGCCGACTCGTCGTCTTCGTCGTGGCCGAAGACCACCGCCAGAGAGCCGGCGGAGAGCTGCACGATTCGTGGCGGGTGGAGCGACATGTCCGCCGCTCTGTGAGCTCCAGATTCAAAGTGACTTCAATGGACTTGTTGAGTTAAACTGCAGCTTTGTCTCCTGGAAACATAGCCGGCGGCGAGGGGTCCTCCTGCTGTGAGGGTCCTGACGGGAGTGAGACAGAGGGAGCCAAACTCGAAGAAGGGTAGAAGAGGAGGAGGAGGAGGGGGAAGCAGAGAAAGGAGAAGGGAGACACACAGGTGGACCTCCCACTGCTTACAGGTGTGTGCATTTCGCATAATAGCGAAAAAAAGAAAACAAGTTGTCAGTTTCAAAGGGGACAACTTTTTTTGTCCCCACTTTTCACTTTTGCAGTTGTCCAAACATGGCATTGTGGTTAACATTGCGTTTGTGGCTTATGAATCAAGCAGAAAAAAAAAAAAATTAAAAAATCACCTTTCAATCCACCTTAGGGGGCGTCCATTTTGTCACTTGCTGTCCGGTGATGACAGTTTTTCAGGGCTCTGACCAATCACGGCTCACCTTGCGAATGTCACATGACCAAACTCAGAAAACAGGTGACATTTGGTAAAATGTTGACTTGCCTTTCCCTTTAAAAATGGTCACTCAAAAGTTTCACCCAAGGAAATGAGTGCAAAACATGTATTTTCTCAACTTTTTATTAAACATTTTGATATACGTGACTTATGAGTGGAGAGGCCAATTTATATGGTGAAACCATTAGATAAATATCGAAATAGTAACAAATAAATATGGAAATTGAATACAAACCAATTTAATATTTAAATAATGAAATGACTACAAAAACAAAAGTTAGTAAAGCTAACTGTACTATTTACAAATAGTTGTTGGAAAACAGAAAATCTTATTGAAAAAAAAATACATGAAAACAGTAACCAATATGATTTCTTCAAATATAGCAGTTTAAATATACTGTAATTACTTTTCAAAGCTAATTTTCAAACCTGATAGACATAACAGCCTTTCTTTGCCAATAGACTCGGTAAAATCAAATTTTTAAATTAAATTTGTGAGTTATTAAAATATCATGGCTATAGTTTACAGTAAAAGTGAATTGCACGGCATCTCGCTGCTCCTAATATTTTGCTTAGCTCAACTAATACACTGCTGAATTCATATCATACAAAAATACACATTTGAATTTTTGTTAATGACGTCTGATGCAGCTCTGAATAGATTGTGCAGATGTCACCAACGTAGTGTCCGGAACATGACCCAAATGGCCGTCCATATGGCATTAAAATAAAAAGTGAGTCAGAGTAAAGCTCATTTCCAAATGTCCAATATTTGCATCTGTTCTCCTGCACAAACTTGTGTCTCATTACATCTTACCTCCAAAATGAGAACCACATCTAACCTTTTGCCTATTAGATGATGCTTTTAGCTAAGGCCACAGATGGACGCGCACCTCGTATATCACACGCTCAAAAAGCTTTTTTGGCTTGACTTTTAAGCAGCGCTCGGACCTCTGGGAGGCCCCGGGTTCCATTCTGCCAGTTCGTATTAAGAGGCTGCATGCAACAGGATATTGAGCTTCCTCTGCACATGAAAAGAATACATTGGCGCGGCCAACGCACGATAACTGACTTCATCCCTCCAGAACGATGTTGAAAAGCTCAAAGTGAAGACACCGCGTGATTACATTCAATCTGGGGGGGGGAACAAAAACAACGCACAATGGGTTCAGTACAAAATCACTACAGGTTGAAAATTCAGGAAATTGCAACTGAGTCGGACTTGATTTTGTTGGGCATGTGTGAAAAATGACATTCATTGTTGAGTACAAGCCCCACAGCACATCAAGCAAAATGGCCGAACGTGGAAAAAAAAAAAATTACAAAGGAGCGCTGCACATGGACTGGGGTGCAAAAAAAAAAAAAAAAAAAAAAAAAATGGGGTGATTGTCAAGGAAGAAGCAGTTGTGCGGCGGGAATAAAGGAGATGGTTTGACAGTTATAATCCAATTTTCCTGCTTGGCCAGTTCATCACTTGCCCGTGATGAACGGACAACTTTTATGGGGGGTGGGAGGACTGGTTATGATTGGGTGGGATATGATTCTAAAAGATTTTTTTTTAGCTTTATACCTCCTTGATCAAAAGTGGATGCCCCCTCTTCAAGACAAAGCTGTCACTGCCGAGGAGGAGGATGGCCCCCTCCCTGTTGCCCCAACCCTCTGCATGCCCCTGCTTGTTGTAGCACCGCTATTCTTCTGTGGTTGGGGGAAAAAAACCACAAAGTTAAAAAGCCAAAGAAAAAGCAAAACACGTGTAAAGTTAATTCTTATCAGTGGTGCTGAAAGATTTTACACCAAGTAATACTTTATAAGATTTTGCTCTCGGTACTCTCCCCAAGTGTATTTAGCCTCAGAGTTCATCAAAGATGAGCTTTTATTTGTAAATACTATATTTACTAACATTGTGAGCCATTGTAACATGATGAACAGGTTGAACATCAATGTTGCCGTTCCATATAGTATAAAAAAATGTACTGAATGAAGTCAAATGTATTGCATATAACATTTGAAATCCATGACGAAAAAGTTAAATACAACTGAACTGAAGCGAATGTTTCGCATCCCACCACGCTGCTTTCAATGCCTAGTGAGCTCAAGTTTCATGTGGTACTTTTCCACAAATGTGACTTTAGAGGTTCCACTGTAATTATTTTTTTTTGGACTTGGTTATTTACTCTTGGAGAAGTTGATTTATATCTCGGTTACACATACACTAAACCACTCCCAACTCCAACAATTGTTGATTTCCTGCTTCGGGAAAAGTGTTGCTATTGTAAAAACTGTTAACAATCAAAAGTAGATCTATCCATTTTCACGGACTATGCGTTAGGAGGAAGTTGGTAGAACCATTTCCATTGTTTGATACTAATGCAGTCCAGATGAAAAACATGACAAATTCATGTTGTTGGACAATAGCGCTTGAGCCGCGTAACAAATTTGAGGTGTCTTTCTTCCGCAATGTTTAGTCTGCCGGTTGGAAGTGATTATCAAGAAGCAAAAGTTGATCCCACAGTTAGCATAATTACAGCAAATCCAGCACCCCCGGCCCGTCCATTTCCATACGCTAAGTAGTCTCAGGTGCTTGCGTGGGGCCGACGGCCTTGATGTGATCAAGGCGTATATTTGGAATGTGATCGGTGTGTCACAAACATCTGGTCCTGCGAGGAGAACTTGGCTCTGGGGATCCAACCAAAACACCCCAGAGGGCTTCCTCTTTAACACCGTGCCAGGAATGAATTTGACCCAAATCGTCAGGCAACACACGCGGCCTGCACTCTTACCATCCGCCCATTTGGTGCAGTTTAGTGACCTGCCAATATCTCTCCCGATTGAAATAAACGGACCTCCCAGTCATCCGTTCCACCCCCACTCCCTCAAAATGTTGTGATGTGTATTTTGATACAGTGCTGATAATTGAAGCATCTGCTCTCAGCTACCAGTAATCAGTATAGCTATCTTCTTTATTATTTTTTTAAATGTTATTTTATATATTTTGTCTTCTACTTTCTCCCTTTCATAATGTTGCTGCTGTATATTGGAATTTCTCCATTGTAAAAGCTCCATCATGTCAATTTATTGAGACCACAGTCACGTTTTGGGGTTTCATTCATTTGCTCTTTGACGCCTGACTGGACATGTTTTCTCCATTTTCCCTGCTAGTCTGTTATTACCATTTCCTCATTTCAGCACTTTGTCTCAGCCGCCGACATCAAAGGAAGTGTGTGTGTGTGTGTGTGTGTGTGTGTGTGTGTGCCCACCGTAAAGTGCGTCATTCAAGGCAACAAATCAACAGGCGTTTTGAAGTGAAATCAGAGAGTCAGATTCACTTAATTAGAGTGCGTAAGCCATAACTATGGATCACTAAAGTCTACCATTGAGTCACGTTGGTTTAATAGGTCACCAACATGCTTCCAGGGAGGACAGGAAGCAGGTTGGATTTTAAACCGAATGATGAGACAGAAAGAAAGATTTTTTTTGGGGGGGGGGGGTGTATGAAGGTGATGACTGAAGGTTGACACCCATGTCTTCATTCAGCGCATAGACAGACACACAAAGGCCTTGTAGACACGAACGGGACACAGTCATGTGCGAGATTGTCTGCCAGCTGCACTTGGGAGCCTCCAAATGTCACGTTTACACCAAGTCAAGCTACGCTGCACTCGGGAATGCTAAATTGTTCTGGGTTGCGTTGCCACAACAGGCTGAGCAGGCGGGAGGGACGTCCGCTATGTAAATAGTGTGACCAACGGTGTGAACAGGCTCATAAAACAAGATGCAGTTTGTGTTCTTACGATTGCATGCTCATTGTCACTCATTAAGTGACGACCAAAGACGTTCACAGCGGTAGCCCACAGAGGGGACAGTCAGCAATTTGTTATAAAATATTGAATATTAGGGATATGACTCAAAACTGGTCCCAATATATATATTTTTTTTCCTTTGTGGAGCAGTTTTGCTCATCAGTGATTTTATTTGAGCAGCAACTTTCTAATTCTGAAAAGCATTTTTTTTTTTTTTTGCAAATTAAGCCTAAGGACCTGAAGCAAGAGTTTAATTAACATATATACGACAATATAACAAATGAACAAGTTGTTTTCTTTTAATCTACACTTTTAAAAAAAATGTCTTAAATTCACATTGTCTGGAGCAACACATTTTTTGACTTCCAAAGATTTTCAGTGGAGCAATTTCAAACATAAATTTTAGTGCAATAATTGTATTTCTGAATGGGCAGACGCATGCCGCAATACAACTTCATTCATTTCCGGTTTCGGTCCTGCTTTTCATTTTGTATCATTTTCTCTCCAGGCACACAATTTCCTGCTATTTTGCCGTTCGAAGTTGGATATGCTCCACTTCAACGCGGTTACATCCAGACCTTTGTGAAAAGCGTATTCCTTCACCCAACTACTTAGTTCCGGCATTAAACGATGCCTGTACATTTTAGGTTCTTAGCCATGGAGGCGATGATTACTGACTGAATAGCGACTCCGCAACATGTTCAGCCTCACTAGGTAGTCAGCAGAAGCTTGTTGCTAGCTAGCTAGCTGATGCAGTGGAAATAGCGCCACGCTTGCCTTGACCTCAGACTACGAGCGCAGAGTTGATGCGAGCGCGTCCAGCCCAGCAAAGCTTTTTGGAACCGACGGTGGTCACTATTTAGGTTAATAGAGACACGCTCTTCGGGTGGTGCAATTTGTTTCTGGCAGTTTCCACTTCAAATGAATGGCTGCGCCTTCATCCAGATTCTTAGCAAAAGACGGCATAAGCGGTGGTAATCAGTTATGTAGCTTTCGGGCTAATCTGGATGTCCAAAATGAGGCTTTACGCATGCCGCAATACAACTTCATTCATTTCCGGTTTCGGTCCTGCTTTTCATTT